TATTTTTTCTCCTGTTTGTATTACAGCGGGCCTGCCTGGGGCCCCGTAGTGTACAGTAATATACAAGTCATAGCAGGAGGAAAAGTCATAGCAGGAGGAACTCATGTCCTACAGGTTTTACATTCTTTTGCATTTTTGCAGCTTTTCCAGAGTCAAATGACATTTACTTGAACAAAGAATGCTGGCAAAAATTGCCTTAATACTTATATCTTTGACTGCACTAATTTCTTTGCAGATACGGATGTTTACTGAATGCTATTCCAGAGCTGCATACCAGTCAGTTCACCTTGAAATACTGGCACAGCTGGCAATAAAACCACAGTGAAATCATAATTCCTGCAATCACTCTATCTGCTCTTCTTGCTGGAACGATCTTGAAAAACGGCATTCTGCTTTGGAGCCAGCTTATCAACCTGTTCAAAATACATAAGCAAACAGCGCCTTATCTGGTGAGTGGGTTTCAGATATGGGTTGTATTAACCCTTTTGTACCATGCTTTTTAGATGATAAATTACTGGCACAAAGACCACCACTTTCTCTGTGTATATACAGCCTTCCGTGCACAGAGATGCCCAAGCCCTTGTCATTACTACACTACAAATAACAGCAAGACTTTCCATTTGTGGTTGTTGTTAGAGCATGGGTATTTGCCTTTCAAGCAATGCACAGAGCTTTCTGCTTCTGCGTAGAAGCCTTTTGCATATAAACAAGGTTTTTAGCAATTGATCCGTACACACTCTGAAAATCAGTTGCATATTGGCTCCATGCCTGGAGTTTGATTGTTCCCATCACTGGCTTCTGGTGAATGCTTTCTGCAAGGCACATAGAAATTGTTGAGGAACTGTCTTTTAAGCTTTTGTATGTGCAAAGAATGTACGTCATGGATAGCTTTATCCTCTCTAGAGTCGCCAATTACTACATAAATTGGCATTTTTTTTGGTAATATTTTCACCACATTCTAATTACGAGCTGTCTCTTCCAATGGTAGCCCAACATACTAACATAGCGGAAATACCTTCAGTGCTTCAAATAAAAGCCTTTACAATATTCTTTTACAATATTCTTTTACAATATTCTTTTACAATATTCTTTTACATTCGCACAGCTTCAACCAGCCATACAACCTAGACTTTTGCTTGGCCAGAGTGGATTTTCCCCTGCATGTTTCCTGACGTGCCCACCTCTTTCTAATAACCCAGCAAGATGGGCTGAACCCAGCAAGGTGCGGAATTCTCTCTTCTCCCTCTAAAAGCCTACAAGGGCACAAACGGTTCTGCCCCAGTGTCTGTCTGTAGAGCGCTGCTGAGTCAAGAAGCTCTACCCACAGCCCGAGCTCCTGCTGCTCAAGCAAAGGGCGTGCAGAGACTTCCAAGCGACGCAGCCGCTGGAGCTGGTCCCTGTGAAAACGAGGAGTCAGGCACAGACACTTGCTCTGCCTTTCAGCACAGCCAGCACGCAGCTCCAAGGGACAAACCGAAGCCAAAGGCACTGCCCACTTCTGACAAGGTGCTTTGAAAGCTTTAACTGCTGGAAGGGCATATGGGGCCTTAAGCAAACCCCTCTGAATTTAAAGTAATTCCTACTGTGAAGCAGGCTTAGTTTAAAAGGGTAGGCTCAACCAAATGTAGAAATAACACAAAGAAAGAGCTCTTCAAAGCCAGGGAGGAGATTATCAAATAGAGGTGAAATCCTGAACTCTGCTCCTGCCAAAGAGGCCCATCACTAAGTGAAAKGGCTTTCTAGTGGGGTGCCCTGCCGGTATCTCTGACAAGCACGTGGCCTTTCTCCTGTCAGTTGGTTTTTARCTAAACCCAAACAATAGAGGTGGACAATGAAACCCCCGAGCCTCGCCCGGACGGTGCCTCAGCTCAGGGCTTAGGTGCTGCTGCGGATGGGGCGCAGGCTGCTGCGGATGCTGTGCTGCCCTCGCTCCCGGAGCGCTCCACAGGGCACGGGCCCAGGGAGGCGAGCAGGGAGGAGGGTTTCCGCTGCCGATCAGGGCGCATCCTCGAGCCCTGCCACAGCCTTAGCGCCAGGACACGGCTGTCCGACGGCTAGAGGTTATTGGGTGCTGCTCTGCTAAGGGCAAGGCTTGTTTTCAAAATCCGTTCGGGCTTTTCTCCACTCTGAAGCCTAAGCGCCACAGACCGCCCAGCCACGCAGGTGCCCGTGCTCCGGRCCGTGCGGAAAAGCCCCACGCGCTCTGCCGGCACAGCGGGCTGCCGCGGGCCGCAAACACGGGGACGGGCCGCGCCACGCGAGGCCGGGCGGGCGGGG